GCTAATTCATCTAATTCTCTCGGTGTCATTATCATCGAACGAGATTCTAGACAATATTTATTGATTATTCAACAGATTTTTTTCTAAAAAAAGAAAAAAAAAAAATTACCATTGTGTACTGTTGAATCTAATGATTGTGATGAAGTATAGCTTTTTTTATCAATCGACGTTGTTCGAGGAGGAGCTAATATTAGAATAAAAAATAAAAAAAACTCTGTACTGAAGCAACAAAAAGAAGAAGTGAATAATAAAGTTTTACTTTCAGTTTTTGTCTGTTCGACATAATTTATTTTCCTTTGTCTAGTTGGAAGCACAGTAATTGGTAATGGTTTTTTTAATGATGGAATAGATGTATGAAGTAATGTTTTAATAGCATTATTTGTATCATCACTTGTTGAAATAATTCTTCTATAAATATATAATTTTAATATGAAAATTTATCAAAAACCAAAAATGAAAAAAAAATACTTACTCAATAATGTCATTTAACAAATCTTTAATAATAAGATGATTATCATATTCAATTTTAAGATGTTTTGTTTTCGATTTATAAATTTTTCCATTGGATTGATTAAAAATTATATTTTCATTATCACGTCGTCTTTTTCTTATACGTTGTGAAGATGATAATTTCATAATAGGTGATGTTGTTAAAGATCGTTTATTATTAATGATCATATATTTCATAACTGATGCATTTGAAAGACCAGTTAATGATTTTGATTTAATTGGTTTTAAAATTGTTTCATTTGACTTAAGACATGACATTTTAAATGATGGTAATATTGGACATGATGATGATAATGAACGATAACGACGTTTAAATGATCGTTTTGAATTAATTGTTGCATCAAATTCAACAAGTGAATCATCTATAGGCATATGATTTTGTGTTAAATCTGGTGATGATGATGTTAAAGATGTTGGAGATAATTCACTTGTTGGTGGTACAGACCAATCAACTAATGAAGATGCATATTCAATATTTAATGAATGACGTTTAGATGTAATTTGATGATGTGGATTATGATTAATAGTTGAAGAATCAATTTCTTCAATAGCTAAAAATTGAATTAAATAGAATTTTCTTTTCTCTCTTAATATTTTGTAATGATGAAAGGTTTTTTCCACAACAAAATGTTTTGTTTTTTATTTACTGATAAGAAACTATGAAGTCGAATTTTATTCCTCGAATTACAAAATATGACTTTATTTTCGATAATTACTTTAATTCTGTAGATTTTACTGAATGATAGTTCCGATATATATATATATAGGACTAACAAGAGAATCTATTCCACTTGAAAATTGCTTTTGAGCTTGGACTCTATGCATAAGATAGAATCTAATCAGGTATTAAAAATACCAAAAAGATAAAATGCTCGTAGACCTACGCTACAGAATCATAGCCATTTTACTGAAACTTCGCCTATAGATAAGCCTACTTGTAACTATAATGTTCTGAAAATTTCAGCTCAAAAGAATATTCCTTTCATGAGATCTTGAATTACCAGAAGTCAATCATATTTCTCGAAAGATTCGATAATCTGTTGTTTTTTTTTTTTGAGAAACCTAAAATATCGTAACGAGAACACTTTAATTACAAATAGACTTATCTGCGGGTACAATTTCAAGTTAAAATATTGTCATTCGATTCTTCTATTCATATTGTGTTATTGACTAAGTTTTCTGAAAACGACTATAACTCTATACAAGAGCCCTAAGGGTCTTAATCAGAATTTCCTAGTATGCTTTCTCGATTTTGATTCTGTACATATTATATATGAGCTTAAAATATTTGATAATTAAATAATTGAGAAAACCTGTGTTATTTCTTTTGTTTGAATTATAAGTAATCCACGAAGAAAAATATTTATGAAATTCTATCTTATTAAAATATATTTGAAACTTTTGTCAATAATCTAATTATAAATGAAAAGTACTTGATTGTTTGAAAATGACTTCCTTGTAAATTACTAATACAATTTTAGATTGTTCATTCACAAATTTTGAAAAAACCTTTGAAGAATATTTGTCTAAAAAACTGAAAAATACTTTTCATTTAATTGATGAGTAAATATTATAGAACTAACAATGATGACTCATTTGTTTGATTTTTAGATTATCTAATCCAGCTCATATCAGATATCAATAAAAATTTTTACGTCGAGTATGATATGACTAAAATACTGATAAACTCTTATTATTGAATTGTTGTTTATTATTACGTCTTTTTTATGATAAAGAGGTCAGAGATTTTCAAAGGAATGCAGTCAACCGTTTTTGTTTTTTGTTATTTTTCTATCATGTATTCATAGAAAAGAAAGAATAATTAATAAAACAATTCGAAAAACAAAATTGTTTTTTTTCTTTCTACCTTTGATAATGATTGTAGGAATTTCATTATTTTTTTCTTGTTCTTCTTTATGTTTGTTTGATGTATGAGATAATACATTTCGAACATTTGAATTATTATTATCAATTACAGGAGGTGGAGGTGTTGGTGGTAATGTTGTTGATGAATGATAATCAACATCAGATTGTTGTTGTTGTTGTGGTGGTTGTTTTTCTGTCATATCTATTGGAATGTCAAGTAAAGTAGTTGATATTGATGATGATGGCAGAAAAGGTTGTTGTTCATGATTAATTGAATGTGTTGATGTTGATGAACTTAAAGAAGTTGTTTTATCATTTTTTGTTGATGGTACATATAAAGTTTTTGTTAATTGAATTTTCGTTGGAATGCGTAATGCCGATGCAAGACCATCACCACTTGAAAGCATTTTTATTGATGATGATGATGAAATTGTTGATTGTGGTACAACTAATTTAACTAATTTTGTTGACGAATTTGAATTTATATTTCCATCAAATTGTTGAATAATAACATTGTCTGTACGTGTAGATTTTTTTGATAAATCCGGTGTTGTAACAATTGTCATTACAGATGATGGAATAACAACATGTGTTGATTTTGTCTAAAGTAATGAAAAGAGTTTTTTTTTGTTTTTTACAGAAATTTAAGTTTAATAATTGTTTTTTTTGTTCATAAGAAAAATTTTACTTATAAGTTATGATCTCATTTTTGATAAAAATACATAAATTTAACCTGTCTTTAATTTTTTTTTAAATTAAAATGTTACATTTCTTGAATTATTCCTTTTCATACATCATTACAAAAAGTAAAATAATGATATGAAATCGTACAGTAACGAAGACACTTTATCCAATCAAATTATAATTGATAAATTCTATATAATTCTAAGCGGACTAAAAGTTGCCAGTAGACCGATCAGCATAATATGTGCTATGCTGACAGTTTGATAACGAACCGGTCGGCTAACGTCCGACCGTCATTCTACCTCAGTATACTGATAGTTATTCTTTGACCGACAACTGACCGTCGGTAGTGCGACAAAACGTGCAACATGATATAACTATAATTTTACGAATAATACATATCAAAAATAGTATTTACAAAATAATAGAGTTAGATTTAAATAATATAGAAAAATAGCTCGATTTTTTATTAAAATGAGGAAGTAGAGTGTTTTGAATTGATAATCATGTGAAATATAACGTTTCTCTCACAAACTCAATATTTATTGTATTAAATTAGCAAATAAAAAGAAGAATTATCACATAGAATTGAATTTTTTTTTTTTTCGTATGAATAAAAACCTTATCAATGGAAATCTATGATATAGACTATAGGAACAAATTTTCTTACTAAAGTTTTATTTGATATTTGTTTGGTTCTTTCAAATTCGTCATCACTATCATAATTAGTAAGAGCATGTTTTTCATCCATTGTTGTTGATGATTTAACAATTAATGGAATAGATTTTGCCTTTTTTGTATACATTGTATCTGGTTGTCTATCAGAGTTTTGATTACTATGATTCGAACCTAGAATAGATTAACAAAAAAAAAATTGGAATTTTTATCTTTTTCTCTAATTATATTAGAAAAAATTAAGAATTATTTTTAAAATTAAAATTCAACATACCATTAATATCAATTGTTGATGGAAATGAATCATTAAATGTTCGTATTGTTGTTGATGTATATTCTTGATTTAATGAATAATTCGAATTTGATGATGATCGACTTGATTCTGATGATGAACTTTTATTATCAATATGTCTAAATTGTTGTTTTGAACGACTTTGTCTTTCATTTTGTTCATTAGATTTTTGTAAAAGCATTTCATTTCTTCCTGATCGACGTAAATTTTTATTTGTTGAATGACATGAACTAGATGATGATAGACCATGTCGTTTAGCTGATGGTGGTGATGGTGATGGACGTATAGAAGATGATATTGGTCGTTTGCGATCATTATTAGTTATTGTAGAATTTTTTGATGATATCGTCGCTGTTGACGATGACATTATTTCAATATTGATATTGTTTGTTATTTGTTGAGCATTGAAAATTTAACACTAACAATATGTACAAAAAGAGACGATGAAATCTAAAAGAAAAAAAAAATCATGATTACATGGTACCAAATATGACTAAAAAAAACCTTGAACGAAGAAGAAGAATCTTTTTTTCTTTCTCAAATCGGGACGATGACGACGATGATGATAGAACTACTAATAAAAATAATTGGGAATGGATAAATTGATCTACGAATAGAATTTGTTCTGTTTAAATATATTTATTTATGTCGTGTGGTTATTACCATGGTAACAGTATTGAAATATGGCGATGAGAAAGAAAACACGTACATATTTTTCTTCAATTGGTTTTATAGATTTCATTAAACAAAATATTGTTTGTTTAAACTTATGAATTGATAGTAACTCAATTTTTTTTAATAAAAAGATATTATTGAAAAAGGTTTCTTGAGACCAATATTTTCCTATTTAGAGGGTTCTCTTTCATTGAATTTTTTTATTTCTTCCATTTTAGATATTTTCATTTTATTGTGTTTATATAAAACACATTTGTGAATTTGTTTACGATTATTATTTAAAAAAAAGGAAAGAAAAATGTCTTGGGATATTGAATTAGATGATCAATTATTACAAGATCTTTATGCATGGCTTGATCAAATCCCATTAAGTCGACCAAAGAAACGTATTGAAAAAGATTTTGCTGATGGTGGTACGTGATATATTTTATTTTTTTAAATAATTTTTGAAACTAAAATTTTTTTTTTTTTTTTATTTGTTGTTTGTTTGTTTTTTGTACTTTAGTTATGGTTGCTGAATTAATTAAATATTATTTTCCTGGTTGGGTAATTAATTTTAACAAATAATATGATTTATTATTTTATATGATTGTTTTATTTCAATAGGTTGATCTACATAATTATGCAGCAGCGAATAGTACACAACAGAAATTAATTAATTGGGGTCTTTTAAATAGAAAAGTTCTTTATCGATTTGGTCTTAATGTACCAGAACCTGTTATGCGTGGCATATGTCTTGGTCGAAGTGGACTTGTTGAAGTATTTCTTTATAATTTACGAACTAAAATTGATGAGTATGTATTATAAATAAGATTTATTAGGATTAAGTTTCAGTTATAGTTTAAATAGATAAAATAAATCTTCTGCTTACTTTTTTCAGTTATCTTTATGGAATGGAAACAAATCCTAGTGATCCTCAATATCGGTTTGTTTTAAATATATAATAATAGTTTGTGTTTTGAATGTAAATTAATATAATATTAATTAAGAACATTTACTACTAATGAAAACTAAATATTAGTAGTAGTTTGTTTGGCTTTTGAATATGAGTGATTTATATTAGCATTTGAATGAGATCTTTGTTTTTTTTTTTTTTTTTTTAAATATTTTCTTTTATATTTTATCTCTTTTTAGAGTTCTTCATCAACAGGCTAAAACAAGTGAATCTAATGCCATAACACCTCGTCATCGTCAACAACATTCACCACCACCACCACAACAACAATATGAAGAAAATCCAGTAAAATATGCAAGTAAGAATAGAAAATGTTCTATAAATAAATCGTATAATTTTTCCGTAACATAAAATATAAATGATAGAGAGTTAGAAATAATACTATTTTAGATATACCTTCTTATTTATTACATTACAACCAAGGTGATAGAAACAATATTATATTTTAATTAATTTACTGTTTTCGTTTATTACTTCTTCTTTTCTGTTTTCTTGATTGTTCTTAGACATCGATCATGGTTATGACAATAGGGTAGTGAAAAATAATTTAGAGAATATTCAATATTTGTTCACCATTTTTTTATGCTGATCTTGTATTTATTATTCTTGCATGCTAATTTATTTCCCAATTATTTATCCTTCTGAATTAATATAAATTTTTAATTCATTTCTCAATAATTGATTTTTATATTTGTTTTTTGTTTTTTTTTTCTTATGAATAGGTATGGGATCAAAAGCTAAACCACAAGGAGGAAAGTAAGAATTACTATGAAAGATAATTATTTTTTAATATATGATACATATTTAAAGTATACCAAAAAAAGCTACGTCAATGCAAAATTTGAGTTCAGACATGGTTAGTCGTATTGAATATGATGAAAAAGAACAAGAATGTATTGCCAAAGAAGAACAACTTCAGGTTATTTTGTTTATTTTTTTTTATGGATATAATGTTTTTTTTTTTCTTGTAGATTTTACAAGCAAAAATTCGACGTCTAGAACATTTACTTCATTTAAAAGATATTCGAGTAGATGATTTAGCAGAAAAACTTGATCAAACAAGAGGTTTACCTGGTAATAGTGGTGGAAAATCAATTCGTCAACAACAGACACATATACCACTCAATGGACGTAAATAAAGACCTTGGTTTCTGACGCTTGTTTTTTTCAAGTGTTTTTATTTTTTATTTACGATATACTGCACGTTTTTTTTTTCGTTCGTCTCTTTCTCATTGCACTAGTTTGTTTTCATTTTGTATAAAGAAACAAACAAAAAAGACAGATTGAAAAAAATAAATCTTACCACTTCAAAAAACTTGCTTTTAGTGTTTATTTAATATTTTTAGTAAATAAACTTTTCTTGATGCTTTGTTTTTTTAATTACTCCTAGAGAGTTTCTTACTCAATTATTGTAAATATTATGAAATAGTTTAAGCATCTAGCTACTGCATAGTCAATGTAAATTTTGACTCTTAACAGACAGAAAAAATGTAAGAATGATTATTTTTGTTTGATAGATGAATTTCATGCTTTTTAACTTTATTAAAACATTCAGAAAAATAGAATTAATATGTCGCTAAGGTAAAGTTTCTGTTTTACTGATCATTCAGCAAAAATTTCGACTAATTCTATGCACACATAGGTGGCACTATATACTTCAAATTTAACTCTTGTATTTGAAAAGAAGTTTGTTTTTAATAACCTATTCTGTAGTTTCGATTGTAGGACAGAAAAAAAGAATAACAGGAAAGTCATGTCAAGCAATTCAGTTTGACTCAATGCTCTGATTTAATTCATATACATAACATGCAAAAGGAGGAGCAATGGGTCCGATTTTTTTTTGTTGAATAGAATCGAAGTCAAATAAAGCAAAGTTCAAAAAACAAGTTAATATCATAGTTACGAGGAACAAATGATTTTTATATATTTGAATTCTTTAACAGATTTGTTTCTCAAATTTCATTTCTAAAGAATTTGCCGAACTCAAAAAAAAAATTAATTATATCATTTTTTTCAAACTAATCTCATCTTAGACCTTCACAATTATTCGATCAATGATATTCGCGTACTATAGTCTTACGTCATATAGGACGCACTCATGGTCCAATTTGTCGAAAACCATTGCTTTGACCATCACTATTTCATCAAACTAAACAGCCAAATGTCTAAATACATTATTTCATTTCATCCCATCACACATTCGACAGCGTGGGTATGAACTTTTCTTCGAAAAAGATTTGTATAATAAAGTTTCTAAAATTTTACCATTTACTTGCAATGTAAAGTTCACGATGTCCTTTACTACTATGCAGAAAAAAACTGTTTTTTGTTTTTTAAATTATTATTATTAGACTATGCCATTTGATTATTATCTTGTTCATTAATCCTCTTTAATAAAATATTAGTTTAATCTGTACAAATTATTTTATGTTATATTTACTTAATGCCTCATCAAACATATTGATATAAGGATTTCATTCATTGTCATAATAACAAAAAAAAAAGAAGAAGAAAACGATTAATTGTTGTTATGAAACACCATTTTTTTTCTCTCTTTCTCTTTCTGTCTATCAATTATGATCGCAAATTAAAAGACAAAATAAAGCATAAATATAACAACACTGTTCACTTAACCAGAGAGAGAAAGAGACCAGTTGTAGCAATAAACAACAAGAGAAAGAAAGAAAAGAAATAAGGCAAAAAACAGACAAAAGAGAAAAAGGAAACAAAATAAAGTAAGAGAACAGAGAGAGAGAGAGAAAGAAAGAGAAAAAAACTGCACACAAAAGAAAAACTAGGAAAAATATTTGACAAGATCGCATTATTCATCAAGATTTCATTGTTGAAAATATTGTTTTTAATGAACGTTTATTATTATGACGATTTTTAGGAATAGGTGGTGTCGGTGCAAGTGTTGCTCGATTATTAATTAATGAACCATTTAAGGTTGTATTTGAATTTAAATTATTTGTTGTTCGTTGTTTGGATTGATGATCATGATGAAGATCTATATAAAAAAGAAAAAAAAAACTTTGTGATATTTTGTTCATCATCTGAAAAAAAAAAATAACCATTCGTTTACCTTCATGTGAATCTCGATCAATTGATTTTTGTTTTGCTATTGAACGAAAAAGAAATTTGTCTGTAAATGCTTTATTATTGTTTGTTTCTGTATATTCAGCTTTTTTAACTAATACAAATTTTGAATTTGTCGATGTCCATAAACGTTGTATACCATAAATTTTTTCATCATCAGCTAATAAACGACGTTTTATTGGTATACGTCGAGTAGCGTTTACTTTATTTAAATCTGTTTCTTCTACAAGTCCATAATCATTCGGCATACCTGTCATACGTATTTTTGTCATTAACTAAAAATAAATTATAATTTAAGAGATTAATAACACAAAAAAAAAAAAAACGAAAGAAATTCGTTTTTTTGTTTACTTGTGTTATAACATGAATAGCAGTTGAATTAACTGGTGTTCGAAATGTTGTATGTTTTTGTATAGGTGATATATTATAAATTGTAACAAGAAATGTTCGATCACAATTTTCCCAATTTTGAATATTTTTATCAATTAATGTTGATAATGATAAATGTTGCTAGAATGAAATTTTATTTGAAAATAAATAAATCAAAATTATTATTTATTTTTTGATTTTATTACTTGTGTCTGTGCTTTTCTTTTACTTAAAATAACGGTTTCACGACCAACACGATCAATAACTTCAAGAATACGTTCATGTTTTTCTAAAACTCGTGGTGGTATATCAGTATGTTTCGATGATGAAGAAGCTTTCTTTTTCCATGTTTTAGATGATTCTGTTAATACTATATCATTTATTGTTTCACCAACTTTTAGAAAATCATTTGCTTTAGCAATCTAAAACAAGAACAAACAAATATGAACAAGAAAAAAAACAAGAAATTATTGTACCATTTCCATAAGTTCTTCAACTGTTGTATATTGTGTTACAGCAAATGGTCGAAATTCTTCATCACGTCCATCTTTTCCGTAAACTTTAACTTCAAATGTTTTATGTTTAGGACGAAAAGACTCCCGATTTGCCTATTTAGTCAACAGATAAAAAAATAACAATATATGAGTTTCATAGGAAAAAAAAGCGTTTAATAACATACAGCAGTAACTTCTGGCGGATCAATTGGTCGTCTTAATATTCGATTACGAAATAAATGTGGTGTATTTGATGTTGATAAATCTTGTTCAGTATTACGAATAAGAATTGTTTCAGTTATTTTTGAATAAATAAATAATGTTGCCAATTCTAATGGAACATTTGTAATATCTCTTAGACGAACATGTCGATAACCAGCTCGAAGACATTTTAATGGCATAACACGTTGAGACATTAAATGATTACTTCCAGCATCATATATATGAAAACGAATAAATGCTAATTCGATGAAAAAAAGCTAAAAATAAACAGAATTGATATCAGAAAATAATTGCAAATAATTCTATTATATTTTCAAATTAATTAAATCATTAAACGAATCAAATGAATGCGAATACATAGAAAAAAAATATCTGTATTTTAAAATTTTACACAAATTAAATACAACTCAAAACAGAATTTGTTGAACAAATTTTAGACTTGATTAATCATTATGTAATTATTTGTTTCTTTGTTCAGAAAATTATTCATCCTCATTGTAATAATTATTTTTGTTGTAATATTTCTTTTTCTTTTTTGCTTTAAAATCCCAAATATTATACAAATGTTTGCAAAAAAAAACCTTATACACCTTGCTCTGCAGGGATTTCTTTCTATGCATTTCTATTTAGACTGTTTCATCTTTCAAACGATAGACCACAGAGTACTCTATTGTAACATAATTGAAAATGTATATTCATCCATTTTTAAAAGAAATAATAAAATAAAACATCACTTTTGCCATAGACAACGTATAATGTCTAACCACACTAATAAAAACATTTTAAAATTTTTTTCATTAAAAAACTGTTCGAGTGCTTTCGTGTTACTTTTAAATTTATGTTTATTCTTGACTAAATTTTTTCTATCAGATTTAGATTCAAAGCATTAAAATAATCGGTTCATTATTTAAGATGTTTTCAGAGGCGTAGCTTAATATTAGGAGAAAGGATAGGAGGTATAGAATGGTTGAGTCCCAGAAAAAGGAGTGTTGCATTGATGATTTTTACAAGTAGGTAAGCGTTGTGTACACAAATTTCAGAAGTACTAGGCACCTCGCTCAATGAGTCCCTATGAGATATTATACCAGAAGAAGAAACAGCTGACTTCAAGGCTTGATGAGATTTCAAGATTGAAGGCTTTGTTGTTTCCTCCTCAGCACACCCTCTGAGTGTATAATCGTTGATAAATTCTTTACTGGTGTATTTGAGGTTGTGATCCAGTAATAAAGGTTCATTTTCGTGGAATTTCATCAAAAAGGAAAAAAACTACAACTTTTTGTTAATATTATGAATATAAAATTCCAATGAAGATCTTTATTTCATGGTTTACAACGCCAGCTAATCTCACGATTTTGAATAGATAACAGTTACTCTATAGAGAACACGATGACACACTTTATTTTTTTATACATTGAAAAGAAAACTAATCGCATTATTCATAAGATTCTTCGATTCTTCAATCGATATCAAACAACGACCAATAAAACATAAAGCATGTAATTATTTTACAAAACATAATAACACGATGAAAAAGAAAAATTTTTACATTTTTGTACAAGTGTGTTTTTTTTACAAACAACTATGCATTGAAAAATTCGAAATTTTTAACTAGTAATATTCAATGTGGTTAATCAACGGATAATTAGTTTTAAAATGAATATCTAACTCTCATGTAAATAATTAATAACAAAAAATTTTTTCTTTATAAAATCTAAATATATACCTGGAAGACAAATGTCTCTTGCCAAATAGGATTAAGTGAATTTTTCACCGATGGTTTAGTTTTTCTTGACATACAATCAATTGGTATACCAAGAAGTTCAACTTCAATATAAACACTTGCTGTTGAACTAATATTCTGTGTTAAATATTGACCAGAAATAATCTATATGAATAAAAAAAAGAAAAAGTTTTTCGAAATCAATATCGAACTATTTTTTTCTTTTCATCTAACTTAC